GGGGGGGGGGGGGGCTGAAATTAGACAAAACATCCATACATCCCCCCCGAACTATATTAATTTTCTAATGACCCACCCGCTTAAAATTTACACCGCAGATTTTTTTCATCAAAAAAATTTGAAAGAATGTTTTGTCATCGGCAATGAGCCTATATGCCAAGTTTCAGCTCTATTGGTTGATTGGAATTGGATCAATTAGTCATCCGATGGTCTTGCCAGCCGCAAACAAAATTGAAGTTTATATCAAGGATTTTAAAAAGTTGTGTTGTTTTGATATCCGACCAATGCAACAAAATGGCTATATTGGCTGATGTTTATAGTAAAGTTCATTGCAGAATGCTTTAAATTATAAACATGTATTGCATTTTTAAACGGATTTTTAAATATATATATAAGAAGGGGTTCCATATATATATATATATACACGCCAGACACTGGGATTTTAAATTGAAAATAACCATTAAATGTTAACCCATTTTATAATTTTTTTTAAATTGAAAAAAATTAAATAAACTGAATCTGCTCAATGGTTACGTCTATCTTTTCATTTTCTTCAGCTTCATGACACTCGTACATTTTTCTCAGCACTTAATAAGATATGCGCAAGAAATTATCTGTATTTCACAGACCCAGTCCGATGTTGTCATTTGTCGAAGTCTTGTTAGAACAGGTTTGAACTCATTAAATGAGTAGAATGTCAATCCGTTCAAAACGTACAGAAAAATATTTCTTGCTGTGTCCAAATTAGACGAAGTTGTAGAAAAATCAGATTAAATTGTGCATAAATTAAATTAAATTGTTCCCAAATTATATCAAGACCTGCCTAAATTATATCAAGATATGCAGATATTAGATTAAGGTGCGCACAAAATAATTTAAGTTTAAGATGTGCATAAAATAGTTTAAGGTGTGCATGAAATAGTTTATTTCGCGCATAAAATAATTTAATTTGTGCATAAAATAGTTTGAGGTCTCCGTTGCATTGCTTGTTAAAACCTAACTCCCATACAAAACGATTGCAAAAGTTCACTGCTACTCTAGTAATAGAAACAAACACAAAGCACGCCTAATCACAGAAATAAATACAATAAAGCCGGACCGTGCCAAGCCCCATTTAAAATTATAAATTATGTATAAATATATGAAAATATAATAACATAAAAAATACTATAATTGTCAACCAAACAAAATAAAATAGAATTTCAATTTTTAAAAAAAAACACAAAAAAAACTGCATTATAAGTTTAAAGAAATAAGTTTAATTGATGATTTAAAATTCATTATCAACTACTTTTACATTTACTTCTTGTTACAAAGCAACAAGAACAAGCCTTAATATAAACAAACAATAAAGACTATTATTATTATTTGATATTCATAATGACACAGGAGAGTAAAGGATATTAATTTACATAATTTTAAAAAACCAATCAACTCAAAATAGTTTTTATAAAGTGATTTTGGATATTTAGACGATGCCAGAGGAAATTAGTGAACTAAAATAGTTTCGGAAAGAGTATGACAATCCTGGCAATTATAAATAACTACTTCAATTCACAATAAAGTTTTTCACTAAACCAATATTTAATTCACTTTCAAAATACTGTTCATCCTACACTGTATGTCAACTGACAGTTTATTCAAGGAAAGTCTTTTTTCCCCAATCACACTTTTTTGGGCACTGTTGTGAACTAGATATAGGGGCGTGAATGTTTGCTATGGAAAAGATGCTTAGTGTAGAGAGTATATGTGTAGCTGTATTTATTATGTTGAGATTTTTGTGACGTATTTGGGTAAGGGGAAATGACATATTAGTTGTTGAGATAGTTTGGGACGCTGGTGTGCAGAAGCTTTGGATTTCATGAGTTTTTTTTTTTACATTTAACACAGAGACGTTTATTCTAAGAATCCATGGTTTGTTTAATAATTGTAACCCTGGACAACAAAGTTATCGAACTTGGCAATTTCAAGCTCGTAACACAGGCACACTTTTCATTTCTGTAATCATCAAACTTCTAGATCTGAGATATATACTACCACTTATTTGGTGTAGTTCCAAAGTAAATGTCTGCACCATTTTAAATCTTTCACTCAACCAAAGGTTTTCTCTCGCTCTTCTGTCATTCTTTGAGCAATTAAGTAAATGAGATGCGTAGAGACACCTGCAGGGGGAGACCCTGAAGTGTCACGTCTAAAGTAAGAGGTAAAAAGATCATCTTACAGGCAATACCTCTTTTCATCATCAACACTATTTATAAACATCTGTTTGTCACTATTCAAAAAAAATAATAAAAATTGTTCAAGGTTACCTTTCTAAACCCACCTATATTTTGACACAGGTCATAATGAGTCATTGTCTAGTCTTTCTAAAAGACCAATTTAAAAACTATACAACACAAAATTACATAAAAACTTAAATTCACATTGCTGATCTCTTTATAGTTCATTAAAAAAAAATTATAAACATTTCAACATATTCTTAAAAATAAAATCAAAGATTTTAAACTAATCGCAATTTTTTTTTTTAAATTGTATAAAGCAGGTTTAAAAGTTCAACATGCATAATTAATATGATGGGCTTCAAGAAATATCTAATAAACTATTATAATAGTGTTAAGATACTTTTAAAAAAAATAATTTAAAAACTAATTAGAATCGAAGTGAAAGGCTCAAGTCAATGAAAATGTCACACAAAATAAGGGGGGGGGGGGGGGGAAGGAAAGGAATTGGGCTCTGGTGATTTGAATCATCTTTTCTCCAACCGGAACCACAACCCATTAGCGCATTTTAGCACCGCCTCTGGAACTCTGGCCACCTTGGGTGCATCCGGCGCCAACGTTACATTGTACCTGGTGAGGATCAACAAAAAAACTGTTGGATCTGTGGTATCATTTTTATTTTTAATTCTTATGCACGAGTTGCTATTCTATTATGTAGAGAGATTGGTTGAATGATGGTGCACATTTTAAACCAAAAACATAATGTTCACGATTTAGGCAATATTTTATTTCAGTCTATTCTATACATCGTATAACATAGACTCGATCGTATAACATAGACTCGGTGACCGTATAACATAGACTTGGTGATCGAATAACATAGACTCGGTGATCATGTAACATAGACTTGGTGATCATATAACATACACTTGGTGATTGTATAACGTAGACTTGGTGATCGTATAACATAGACTCGGTGATCATATAGTGAAGGTGAAAGTGTTGAAACCAACAACAAATGGCGGGCAGAACTGCCCAGTTCATAAAATCACAATTAGCGTCAGCCTGTTGAGCTGAAATTTGGCACATAGATTTATTGAAGATGATAAAATATGCGGTCAAATGTTCAGACCCATCCCCAAAAATCTGTTTTTTTTCTGTATTTCAAGGGGAAGATAAAGGAAATATGACATTGATTTCAGGAAATACAATTCTGGATAACAGCACTCTTCTTAAAAAATAATATCACGTTTTTGATGCGTAATATTTTCAGTCGTTTTCCTCAAATATTTGGTGAAATAAATATGTGGTGTGAAAGCGGGTGGGTCATTAGAATATTACTATAAAATGAACTAATAAGAAATGTATGCAAAGGATCTCAAAGAAAATCTTAGTTTTTAGGGGTTGTTCAATTTATTATTAGGGGACTCTGTCTTCAAATTACCTGCGTAGGATACGACTCATGATAACTTTCTCTTCATTCAACGCAAAATTCTGTCCGATGCAATTCCTGGAACCAGCCGAAAACGGCGTGAAAGAGAACGAGTCTTTGTCCTTCATGTTGTCATGCTTGAATCTCTCGGGCAGAAACTTTTCCGGTTCCTCCCAAACCTGGGGATTTTTATGCAAATGGATGATGGCCACCGTCACGTTCGTCCCTGCTGGGATCTTGTGTCCCTCTAGGACAATATCCTCATTCATGGTTCTCTGGATGAAGGGAACAGGGGGGAACAGTCTCATGGATTCCTTCACACAAAGTCCCATCGTCTCGAGCTTGCTTAAATCAGACCTGTGGGACAGAACGCCACAGAATTATTCAACACCAAAATAG